GGCTATAGTCAGGACCGGAGCTGGATGAGTTTGCTTTTATTTTATGTTTTTGGGTGGTGGGGCAAACCGGAGCACCAGGAGGAAACCCACCCAGACACACGTGGAAACACCGCCTATCCACCCTTAAACCCACTCGGACTCTGAGGTTAGAGAGAAAGTTGATAAAAGCCTGTCCATGTCGGCATATCCCTATTGGTGCTACATTGAGCCAGCGGGTTAGCATTGTCCATCTAGTCCATTGCCAGGACCAGAGCTGGATGATTTTGCTTTTGTTCTATGTTTTGGGTGGTGGGGAAAACCGGAGCACCAGGAGGAAACCCACCCAGACGCAGGTATAAACACAGCCTATAGAAAGTTAATAGAAGCCTGTCCGTAAGCCCATCCCTTTAGTGCTAAATTGAGCTAGCGGGTTAGAATTGTCCATCTGCAGTCTACCAATAGGGCCAACACAATTTGCTGATCAGACAGAACTTGCTGTATTTTTGACCCTGTTTTTGAACTAGACACAACATGTAAAGATAAACCACAATGGAATACAGCCACAACAAAGCTTTGAAATGTAAATTTATCATGTCACACTCGGTCATATTGGCTCCAAACAATTTCAAATCCTCCACCAGCAGAAATTCATTCAACGCAACTCTAATATTTATTCTTAAGTGAACCTGTGTGTGTGTGTGTGGGGGGGGGGGGGGGGGGGGGACCATCCAGGGGCCTCTGCTTGAATAGTAAAAGCACGTTTTTTTCTCCGTTATCTCCCTGGACCAGTGCGATATCAGCCTCTGTCAGGTGTCCTGCCTTTCTCCTCCCGAGGTCACACCACACACATGTTTAACCAATGTCGAAACCTGCTTTTTCCCTCTCCTCACACTTACTTTTTTATTTTATTTTTTTTACTGCATTTCCAATCTATTTCTTACAGCTTCAGCGTATCTCTTCATGGTTTACCTCACTTTCCCACCTACACACGTTGCATACAATATAGACACGCATAATAAAACCGGCTTACTCAGCAGAAAAGGTGCATAATAAGTGCCGTAATTTTATATTCACTGTTTTCTGTGGCGCAGGAAAAGTCCATTAACTTGAAAATAAACTGAAGAGCAGTTTGTCTAGTATGTGTGAGATGGATTATGCTCACGCTGGGTTAAATGGGGAGTTCTTTTACAGCCGCCGTTTGGGTTCAAAGTCTTACAACATGTATTTGGTGATTAGTCTTACGCAGCTGCTGAACTGGATTTGACTCATTTTCTCCTGTTTTTTCGTATACTCTGGTTATATGAAGTTTATGTAGGTAAGGCGAGTGGAATTGTTTAATACGTTTCGGAAGATTCACGCTCAAAGACAGGAATAGAAATGTTAAAATCCTCCGCTTGTCTTCCATTTTTGGGAAAATGCCAGTGCACATGAAGGACACTAGTAAGACCACAGAAGATACAAAGACCTCTCCTTCACAAAGCCAGGGTGACTAAGTCTGTCACTGAAGCTGCTCTCCAAATCAAAATCCACCTGTTCAAAACGGCTTTAACCTTAAGTGTCCAAAAAGCGCTATATAAGTATTCTTCTTCTTCTTCGTCCGCCTTTTCTACAGTCCATGCTAAATACCAAGCATAAACTAGCATGTCTTCCTCTTTAAAACTCGCTGAACTCGCACGGAATTGAGTCAGACCTTGGTTTTTGGCTCGCGTTGCTTCATACACCTTTCTTTATTCACCTTTTCTGCACTAACAGCGTGAAATCCTTGGTGTATGAAAGTAAAAAGAAGGGAAAGGCAACGCAGAGGTCCCCTTTTTTTCCCGCTCTAGACCTCAACACATGAAAAGCCGGAGAACAAGCGGTCCGGCCTCCAGCTCCAGCTCCAGCAAGAGGCCTGGGGCTTTCCTGCTCGCCGTGACTGACAGAGGCACCTGGGGAGTCAGCCGCTCACAGTCAGATAGACCCCCTGGATGGAGCCCAGGATGGAGCCCAGGATGGAGCCCTGGAGGGAGCCCAGGAGGGAGCCGTGGCATCACACAGCCTTTTGATTTGGCTTCATACGAGCTGAACCCAGAGACCTCCGAGAAAGAGCAGCCGAATATAGACGCAGGACTCCCACACGCTCCGAGTGAGAGAGCCAGGCCACGTAGTAACAGCTCTGTGAGGTTGTTGATGAATTAATCAATATTTTAGAAGTCTTATTTCCTCGCAGTGTTTCCTGGAGTTGTTGTGAGAAATTACTGTATCTCTGTCGGCCTGCGGTGACGATAGGGTTTTTGAATTTGGTGTAAGATTGAATCATCAAGTGTGTTATTTGCATTGAGGATAAGGAAGGTCTAAGGACGGTGATGTTCTGGGAGATTTAGGGACATTTATGGACATTTAGTGACATTAGTAATATGTATTTACATGTATGGACAGTGGTCTTCCCGTCCCTTATGGACCTATGGCTCTATGTGTTTGTTATTATTGGATTATTGTTTCATTCTAGGATCTGTTGTCCAATCAACAGCAAAGGCCTCTCTGCTCTCTCCTCTCTGCCTCTGTCCCTTCCACTTTCTCTCTCCTCTCCTCCCTCTCTTCTCTCTCTCTCTCCCTTTCACTGTCCCTCTCCTCTTTGTCTCTTCTGCTCTCTCTCTTGGAATCTCTCTCTCTCTCCTCTCATCCCTCTCTCCCTTGCCACTGTCTCTCTCCTCCCTTTCTCCTCTCCTCTGTCTCTCTCCTTCCTGTCTCTCCTCTCCACTGTCTCTCTCCTCCCTTTCTCCTCTCCTCTGTCTCTCTCCTTCCTGTCTCTCCTCTCTTCTGTCTTTCCCCTCCCTTTCTCCTCTCCTCTGTCTCTCTCCTCCCTGTCTCTCCTCTCCTCTGTCTCTCTCCTCCTTCTCTCCTCCACTCTATCTCCTCTCCACTGTGCTCTCTACAGTGGGTCTCTCTCCTCCCTCTCTCTCTCTCTCTCTCTCTCTCCTCCCTCTCTCCTCTATAATTACCTTAATACCTCCATTACATTATTGTTAAACACTTGAATGTCCATAAATCTGTTTTTCCCGCCCCCGCCTCAGCCGTACCACAGTATTCTTTGAACTGCTCCTCTGTGAGTGACCCCAGCGGTCGATCACTGCTGTTTTGATGCTCAGGACAAAACAAAGACACCCATTCAGACATCCAAAGGACCAGTGTCTTTGTGGTAATTGAATTAGCGCCCGGCTTAGCACTCCGTTCATTAAGCTAATGCCGTGTTGTTTACACACGACTCAACGCCACAATTAGGACTCCACCATTTTGGACGTGGCACAGCGGCCCGCCCCGGTGGCACTTTGGAATCAGCGAACCAGGTTTATACTGCCAGGTTTTTTATGGTTTTTGTGGAAGGGATAAATAATTAAAGCTGGGGGATCTAACTTTCAAACTACCAAATTATAAGTATGTAATAAAATCTATCTAACTATAGTTTTATCATTATTATTCCACAAACCGGCATTGTTTGTCCCGCTATATGTCACTCTCTCAGGCCACAGCGTCAAATAGTGACTCGCAAGCTTAGTGCCTCTCCTCTCCTCCCTCTCTCCTCCCCCTCTCCTCCCCCTGTCTCACCTCCTTTCCTCCCTGTCTCCTCCCCCTTGTCTCACTGGCTCAGCTTTGACCCTCTCTCCTACCCCTCTCCTCTCCCCCTGTCTCTCCCCTCTCCCTTCTCTGTCTCTCTCCTCTCCCCTCTCCTTTTCTCTATCCTCCCCCTGTCTCTCTCTCCTTCCCCTGACTCTCTCCTCTCTCCTCTCCCCTCTTTTCCCCCTCTTACCTTTCCTCTCCCCTCTCCTCTCCCCTGACAATGTGGATTGTCAAACTATAATACACATTCTGATTGTAGTTTGACAATGGCGGAGAATGCAATAGTAAAATAATCTGTTCTGGTTCGGCTCCAAATATCAAGAAATTGAAGTAAGAGGAATGTTCAGAAAATGTCATTGCTGCAAAGATGTTGTGTGTTTACTCCCACGGGCTCCGTTAGTGGCAAAGGAGATGGCTAAAGCTAGGCTAAATGCTAAATGCCTCACTCACTCGGGCGCATTACATACATCACTGTAAACTCAGATCCAATGGTTTCAATCTGCAAAAGGAGTTAACCCCTCGCACCTGTTAACGGGGCTCAATGGAGAAAATCCAGACTTTAGTACGAAATGAAATGAGTACAATGGGGGATAAGACCAGGCTAGTTTAGTAACATAACAAAACAATTACTCTCTCCAAAAAAAAAAATTTCTCGCCTTGTTTTTGTGGAACTTCTGCTGCGTCCCAGTCCAACTAGATATTTATTTTATTTGTTTGTTGTTGTTTTCTCCTTTATCCGTCTTGTGCCAAAAAGAGTTAACTATGGATCAACAGTAATGATTTATTTATTAGTAGTTGGCCACATGACGACGTGTTCAACTTTTGATCACAGAATCCTCTCCAATCTCTCCTCTCCTCTCTCCTCTCCTCTCTCCTCCCCCGTCTCTCTCCTCTCCTCTCTCCTCCCCTTGTCTCTCCGCCTCAGGTTTGACCATCCTGTCTCTCTCCTCTCCTCCCCCCTCTCTACGCCTCAGCTTTGACCCCCCATCTCTCCCCTCTCCTCCCCCTCTCTTCCCCCCTGTCTCTCCCCCTCTCCTCCCCCCTGACTCTCTCCTCTCCTCCCCCCTGCCTCCCCTGCCTCAGCTTTGACCCCCCCATGTCTCTCCTCTCCCCCCCTACCTCCCCCTGTCTCAGTTTTGACCCCCCATCTCTCTCTTCTCCCCCCCTGCCTCCCCCTGTCTCAGTTTTGACCCCCCATCTCTCCCCTCTCCTCCCCCTCTCTTCCCCCCTGTCTCTCCCCCTCTCCTCCCCCCTGACTCTCTCCTCTCCTCCCCCCTGCCTCCCCTGCCTCAGCTTTGACCCCCCCATGTCTCTCCTCTCCCCCCCTACCTCCCCCGCCTCAGCTTTGACCCCCCATCTCTCTCTTCTCCCCCCCGCCTCCCCCTGTCTCAGTTTTGACCCCCCATCTCTCTTCTCTCCCTCAGAGCACCTTTAAGTTCAAGTCGGAGAGTGACATCCACCTGGCGGAGCACCATAAGCAGGTGCTGTACGACGGTAAACTGGCCAGCTCCATCTCCTTCACCTACAACGCCAAAGCCACAGACGCCCAGCTCTGCCTCGAGTCGTCGCCGCGAGAAAACGCCTCCATCTTTGTCCACTCGCCCCACGCCCTCATGCTGCAGGTACCACACTGCTGTGGTGGTTCATGCTCGATCCACCACAGCAGTCAATTTGACGGGTTTGAGTTCGGGAATCAGAATTCTTCAGCTTTTATACGTTTTTGGTCTTTATAACTTTGTGACTTTTTTAGAAGGTTAGAGTTAGAGGGTTAGAGTTAGGAGGTTAGAGGGTTAGATTTAGAGGGTTGGAGGTCCTGGGCTGGTCCTGAACTGGTCTGGAACTGGTCCTGTGCTGGTCCTGGGCTGGTCCTGAACTGGTCCTGCGCTAGTCCTGTGCTGGTCTGGAACTGGTCTTGTGCTGGTCCTGGGCTGGTCCTGAACTGGTCCTGCGGTGGTCCTGTGCTGGTCTGGAACTGGTCCTGTGCTGGTCCTGGGCTGGTCCTGGGCTGGTCCTGGTCTGGTCTTGGGCTGGTCCTGGGCTGGTCCTGAACTGATCCTGGTCTGGTCTTGGGCTGGTCCTGGTATGGTCCTGTGCTGGTCCTGGTCTGGTCCTGGACTGGTCCTGGACAGGTCCTGGACTGGTCCTGGACTGGTCCTGGACTGGTCCTGGAGTGGTCTTGGGCTGGTCCTGGACTGGTCCTGGGCTGGTACTGAACTGGTCTTGAAATGGTCCTGGGCTGGTCCTGGGCTGGTCTTGGGCTGGTCCAGAAATGGTCCTGTGCTGGTCTTGGGCTGGTCCCGGTCTGGTCCTGGGCTGGTCCTGACTGTTTTGTGATATTTCATAATGTAAAGACCATATCTGAGTTCCTTTTCGTGGTTTAATGGAGGATTATTCAATGCGTCCTGAAGCGAAGGATATTTGGATGTTTTTGCTGCATTTTCCTTTTAAAACCACGATCATCAAACAGACCGAGCGTAATCGTCTCTGCGTTTAAGAGCATTCATGTGATTCAACATTCGGAGCAGAAAATCTTGTTTTTAACGAATCAATAATTATTTTCCATTATCAGTAAAGTGCTGGTTCTGTGTGAGAATTTGCTCCATTATGGTATTATTAAACCTTTATGAGCTTTAAAGGGGACGTCACATGCTCCTGTCTGCCAAGTACCAACACTTTTGGATCATTTGGATGTATTTAGAACAATCGGAATCTCAATATTGATCCAAAACAATATCATAAAATAGAAAACATGAGCAGAAACATGGTCAGACCCAAGGCCCCACATGGGATTCCCTCTGGTCCTGGAAGCACTGCGCTGTGACTTTACAAAACTTATTTTAGAAGCTTCTTTTGACTCTTAATGAAGCAGTATGTAAAAATGTGGCCAAAAGTGGTACTGCAGCCTCTCCCACTCTCCCTGACTCAGGTTGCCAGATATGCAGACGAATCTAGCTGGGACCGTAACAGCTGAATAGAGTTTTGACACCAACAAATCTATAACCAGCACCATGTTTTGTCGTTAATGATTTGAGAATCATAACGAGACCTTTTTTTGTTTTGCTGCCACATGGTACTTTACCAGTGAGATTAGCTCGACGCGGTGAGTTCAGGCAACCCGGATCACAGACTTTCTGAGTGGTGAAACGGTGGAGGGAGGGACATCGAAATTAAAACAATAACAAGATTTAGGGGCTGGAAAACTAATTTGGAAATTCAAATATCTCTGAACTAATGTTATCAGTTAAAAAAGTGTTGGAAAAGAGCATGTTTTATTAATGCCTTGTGACAGACTAACCCTTTAATGATGACTTGACATGAAAATCATTCATATTGCTTATTTAACCCTTTAATGGTTTCTTCAACCATTTGGGAGATACCTTTTGGTACCTACCAAATGGTTGAGTCACTAGGTACCTTTTGAGTCACTATATCTACTTAAAACATATTTGGAGCAGAAATCTACCTCTTCTCACTTGGTTCCAGGCACTTTTTCCATCAAACTGCATCTAAACCTTAAAAAAACAAAAAACAAAAAAAAAGACCACCAACACACTGGTGCATCCAATACTAGTGTACATGTTTTTAGTAGTATGAGAAACCAGGGCACCAGAAAGGCCTGGAGGTGGAATCAAACCCAGAACCTTCTTGCTGTGAGACACAAGCTCAAAAGTAGAGTAAATAATGTGCTTTTCTTCCTGGTGTGTGTTGCAGGACGTGAAGGCCATCGTCACTCACTCCATCCACTCCGCCATCCACTCCATCGGAGGGATCCAGGTCCTGTTCCCGCTCTTCGCTCAGCTGGACTACAAGCAGCTCAACGACAGCTCTGTGGACACCACCGTTTGGTACGACCCAAAAACACACCTCATTAGGACTGTACCATCTGGGATTCCTCTATGTGCCAAATCCTACTCATTTCAGAAAATCTTTAGACTTAGGACAAAGGTGACAAACTCATTTTGGTCAGGACTGAAATAAAAGGGATTTCTTTTTTTACATTATGACGGTATTTTGACTGTTTTTTCTGGTTAATTTGTCTGAAAACAAAATGTATTTATTGTTTATTTGAACCAAAACTTGCCCGAATATGAAGTTACACATAATTAAAACTAAAAAACCATGAACTTAAAAGGATGTGTTGGGTTAAAATGTTACAATACGTTAAATTTGGTTGTTTTTCCCGAGAAAGTAGAGGATGTAAAACTTGCCTTGGTCGCCCATTACCATCAATGCTGCAGGTTGATAATAATAATAATAATAATAATAGAAAATATTTTTAGGGGCCACTAATAATTGTCTTGCAGACCGGATTTGGCCCATGAGCCTGAGTTTGACATTGCTTGTTCTAGAAGGTTCTTTAATAAGACAAAAATGTAGTTCTACCCTCAACCATTTCTCAATAGTAGACGGAGAAGATTCACTGCAAGAGAAACTATAAAATATAATACATTTATATTAGGGCTGTCAAAATTATCGCGTTAACGCACGTTAATTAATGTTTTTCATTAATCGCGTTAAAAAAATTAACGCATTTGACGCATGCCCATGCGTCCCATGATAACACTCAGAATGCTGCGGACACATGCGTGTGTGTAAGATGGGGACAGAGCAGGTAGGCCCTCTGGGAATACACGCGTGACCGCGGGGCACTTGTTGTTTCCTGTATGAACTCTGCATGAGGAGCTGCGGGCGCGACAGCGCTCTGGACAGCAGTTCCCACTTCCAGCGGCTGTGATCACGGCGAACAGCGCTGCGTAATGGGATCATATCCAAGACCACGCACAGAACTATTCTCTAGTGTGCGTACGTGTCTTTGCGTAACCGATGCACACAATATGTACAGCGCTGAAGCTGGACTGCGGAGCCTCAGTCTCCTCCGTGTCTTCTCCCGAAGCGCACTCGCTAAATTAAAGCTGAGGTACCTAATTTTCCTTTCGACCATCAGTTCATGTTAGTTGTGCCAAAAAAAGTAATGGTGTGAGCAAATCAAACAGATTTAATGACATTCTGCATTTCAGACTATTTGAAATGTCCCTCATCTGTAACAAACAATGGTTTTGGTCTGAGTCTAAACAGAAAGACAGAAAGACATGTTAATAATGTTAATTCCATTTTATATGGATTTATTGTTATAACAAATACAGTACATATGTTCACTAAGCTGTCATTTATCTTTCCATTCAAACAACAATTTACAGAAAAATATGGCATAATTTTGCCAATAGTTTGAAATGTGATTAATTACGATTAATTAATTTTTAAGCTGTAATTAACTCGATTAAAAAAATTAATCGTTTGACAGCCCTAATTTATATATTTTTACTTATGCATGTAGTGCCTGTTGCATTTGAAAGCCAGATCCCGTCAGACATACAAAAGTTAAGCAGGTCTGGTCCTGGTTAGTGAGGTGAAGGGATAACCTGGCAAGAGCCAGATTGATTGTAGAACTCTAATGCGTTCTCCACAATATCAATCTGGGACTTCTGCAGGAGAATCCTTTCGGGGAAAGGAGGGATAAGCAGCAGAATACTTAGAGCTGATTGGGCGAAGTGACGCTGTGTGCCCGCCTACCAAGGTTTGACTTAAACCAATCCCGGTAACATCTTTGCCGTCCAGAAATGCACAAAGCGCCTCTCGCTGTTCATCTTTCAAAAAGAAATTGGAGATTCTGCTAAAACTGTCTTGATAGCCTCAGCTACGCGTCCGTCCTCCTGCGTAGCCATGTTTGTTTTGCTTCGGCCCGGCACTTCTTGCTTTCGTCAAACCCGGATATCCCGCCCTAAACCCCCAGACTGGCGCGTGATTGGCTTGAACACCTAGATGTTCTACTCGAAAAGTGTTGGCGGGAGCGGGGCAAGATGTATTCTCGAGTGTTTGTGAACTCACAAATACTGCGAGAATTCAGCTTGCAGGCAATGTTAGTGAAGGGAGACCTGTGAGTACTATTTACCGTTGTCTTTTTCTTCTTTTTCATTTTATTTTTGAGTTTTTGCCTTTAAAGAACTCCATTGGTCAAAATGTCACAATTCAAAAACAAGGCAATAATTATAATGCAAAGAAAAAGATTACAGTAAAAAAATGAATACTAATAACAACATGAATGAAAAATGAAAAAATAAATATATATACAAATAAAATAATAATAATAATAACAATATCAAAGTAAACTAAACAAAAAAAAGTACAAATAGTAGCGTTTTTTTAGGACATTTATTAAGATTTATGGACATTGGTCATCCCACTCCCTATAGACCAATGCTTCTTATGTGTTTGTTATTACTGTACTCCCTTGTGTTGGAACTGTGTGATTCTCTGATCTGTTGATGGCGAATCGACAGCTTTGTAAAGTCCTTTGAGACTTGATTTAGTTGTGATTGAGTTGTTTTTTTATGCTGGTTGGTTGTGTTTCCTCCAGTGCCACTCTGCTGGCCTTCCTGGTGGAGCTGCTGAAGAGTTCGGTGGCGATGCAGGAGCAGATGTTGGGAGGCAAAGGCTTCCTGGTGATCGGGTATCTGCTGGAGAAGGTCAGTTTTAATGAGACGCTTTGATGATTGTCCTTGACATTTTGTGTTTGTGTAAAACCCCCCAAATCACAACGACCTTCTGCTGAACCTGTTTCCCAATGAGTACTTTGGCAACGACAGTGAATGAATGAATGAATGATGCAAAAAAAAACCTCTGGCCAAAACCTACTAAATTATTATTGCTCTTTCCGAATTGTATGGATGATTTTTTACATTCGATTTTGAGATTTATAACTTCAAATCAAGTATAAAAAGGTGTCAAATCTTCCACTTACATTTTCTTTTTTATCTTGGAAAAAACTTTGATTTCTTTTGCTTGGAAAGTCAGTCACAATATGTTTTTCCCTTGTTTAAATTTGATCATGAACATTTTGATTCCTTAATATTTAAAGCTTAAATCTCCTTTCATGCAAAAGTCTAAAGTTTGGATGTACTCAATGTTTCCCATAACACTCACACATTATTGAATAAGACATTATTGTGGCGCCACCTCTGAGCCCTGTAGCTAAGAAGGGAAGGGCCTGGTTAGTATGGTGATGGGTGACCTCTGGAAACCTCAGTGGATGTAAAGTGGTAAACTGTTGTTGTGTCCTTAGGCAAGACACTTCACCCACAGAGGCTTAGAATTAGTCTGGTGTGTGTGTGTGTGTGTGTGTGTGTGTGTGAATGGTTGGTGGTGGTGGGAGGGGCTGATGGCACATACTGGTTGCCTCGCCTCTGTTAGTGTGCCCCAGGGCAGCTGACAAAGTGCTATATAAAAATCCAATGCAGAGCGCCTGAACTTTTGACTATTACTGCAATTTTTTACTCACGTTTTTGTTATTTAGGGACCGAAAAATCGTAACATTTGCCTCTGATTTTTGTAAAATGGGAAAAATAACTTGTTGTTGTGCTCCACTTTAAAATGCAGCGACTGAAATTCAAAATAGAACACTTTAAAATTCAACGTGAAAGAATTTGCCTGCATTTGCAACTCAAAAAACCCGGTTGAATAATTTCTCTTCCATAACATTTTCACTTCATTTTGAGTTTGAAGCAACAGTCGACACGGCCCACAAGCTCATGTGACATCACAGCATCTGTCAGCAGCAGCATGTAAACGGAATTAGGGAGATTTGAAAGTTTAGTTCTTTCCCATTTGTGCTTGATTTACAAGGTTTAATTCATGAATGAATGAATCAGCTGTTATTCGTAGAGAGCTTTTCCTACACAAAGTAACACAAAGTCCTTCAGCCCATTTCACATCAGGCTTAAATCATAAACATTAAAATCACAATTAAAAGCATTAAAACATTAAATCGACAATGAAATGTTCCTTGAAAGAGTCAAAGAGACGAGGACATTGGTCTCTGCCTCTTACGGACCAATGGCTCTATGTTTTTATCACTGTAGTTTTTCAGTTTCATTTTAGTTTATTTCAAAGGGGACAATGCAATTTATTAAAAGACATGATTAAACATGGCTCAGTTGGTAGAGCATCGCCCTTTGGGCGTGACGGTCGTAGGTTCGACAACCCACGACTTGTCACAACTCCCACTGATGACTGATGCCGTTGTGTCCTTGGGCAAGACACTTAACCCCACTTTGCCTGAAAAAGATCAAGGCTCCTGTGGACTCACCACCTGCTGGAGGATCATTGAGGGGCTGGTGCTGTGTGTACTGGGTGCAGCTCTGACTGCCACCCCCCCCGACCCAGAAATGGATTAAAGGGAAGAAGATGGATGGAAGGATGATTAAACATGAGTATAAAAAAAGCCAGGAGGTATTCCCCCTGGCTGTGATGTTAAAAAGTCATTAAAATACATAAACACCACAAAAATACAAGACAGAGACAACATCAATCAAGACTTACATTATAGTGTTGACACATTAGACAACATTCATTCAAGAATACACTATTTACAAGACTTAAGCAGTGAATGAGGGCAGCTGTTTATGTGCTCTGTTTGATTCTCTGATCTGTGTTCCTCAGAGACGACAAACATTTATTGAATTGAATTGAACTTAATAAATTCTAATTTTCTGAGTTTCACCATAGCTTCCTCAGATGTTTTGTACTTTTTCCACAATCTCACATACATTTATTGCATACATTTATTTGAAATATGTGATGTTGAAAAGGCTTCCCCCAACCACAAACCAAAATATTAAGATTAAGACTTTATCCTTTATTCGTCCCACAATGGGGAAATTTCAGTGTTGCAAAACCAGTTACAGAACAATTGGAATGAGGAGCACACAGCACAAGATAAATGAACAATAAAATACAATTTCTAATGTTAGCATAAAAAATAAGCAAGTCTAAAATCTCTAGCTTTAGCATAATACAATGATTATCTAAAAGTAGCCAACAAAATCCATATAAATTGTTTATGATTTACATTCATACACAACAGAATAACACACAAACTAAACTAAAACTCTCTTCTACTCCGCAGTCGTCCCGCGTCCACATCACCAGAGCTGTCCTGGAGCAGTTTCTGTCGTTTGCCAAATATCTGGACGGTTTGCCCCACGGAGCGCCTCTCCTCAAGCAGCTCTGCGACCACGTCCTGTTCAATTCTGCCATCTGGATCCACACGCCCGCCAAGGTTGGTCCAGCAGCAACACAACAAGAGCAAAACACTGGGAGAATGTTGTGTTCTTTGCAATATGTTGTTGTGTGTTGGAAGATTTTTATGATAAGTCGTGAATGTAAGGTTTTTTTGTACACACTGGCTACATTCATACATGTCTAATCTATAGTGTGCTACACATAACGTATTGAGTTATAAAAGTCAATGCGTTTGATTAGCTGCTGTTTAGGCGTTGGGGAGGAGGAGGGTTGTTGCACAAGCTGAGAGAAAATCAAGCAAATGGTGTGAAATTGGGTGTAGGCTGGTCAGAAGGTGCTGTACTGCAAATATCTATATTGTGGTACACATTATTAAGCTATAACAGTCAATGCGTTTGATTAACCGTTGTTTAGGTGATGGGGAGGAGGAGGGTTGCGGCACAAGCTGAGTGAAAATCAAGTAAATGAGGCCAGATGAAGGTAGATTAGCAGAAAGAAATAGTGTGTAGGCAAGTCAGAAGAGGCACACAAGAGAAACAGACTTGATATACTGTATATCATAAAGTAGTAAATGTAAGTCTTTTTGTACACACTGGTTAAGTGGATGAGGGAGGAGGAGGGTTGCGGCACAAGCTGAGTGAAAATTAAGCAAATATATGCAAATTCAACTGAAGCTTGAGTCTTGAAATCTCGAGGCCATCTAGAGGTAGATTAGCAGGTATTGTGTTGCCAGGTGAGAAGGTGCACGTAAGAGAAACAGACCAAAGACAAACAAAGACAAAACTCAGACTGTACATATTTTCAATAACCGTCAACTAATTTTTTAATATGAAATTGTTTATTTACTGCTCTGTATACAGACTCTAAACTCTGATGTCTGAACTGTGAGATGTTATTTAAAGATTTACCACAGAAAAATATATCAAGAAATGCAGACAAGTAACCGAATGATAAAATGAGTTCTGTCTAGAAATCTATTCAAATGCACTCCAGTGGCTTCTCTTCAGCTTCTTTGGTCAAGTTCTGTTAAAATTGCATATCGACAAATCAGTCAATCAAAGGAGTCGTTGCAAGATGAATCAATTATTTTCTGTATTTTATAATTTGTGAGTTAAATTCCTAGTTTGAGTTCTAATAATAGTTCTGGAGGCAGAGGTGGAGGTGGGAAAGGGGTGTGAGGACGTATCACTGCAGAAACCGTCAACGCTGCGGTGATAACGCTGATATGTTCACCACATGTTTATCACCCACTGCAGATCCCATGTAAATAAAGACAGGTGCTAACAAGGCGAGGCAAGGGAAGTTTATTTGTATAGCACAGTTTATACACAAGGCAACTCAAAGTGCTTTACAAAACACAATAGAAACAGTCACACAAGGCAAAAAAATCATATAATCACAGTACATTAAAAAGAATGAAGATAAAATCATGCAGCTAAACAGAACTGTTTTTAGCCTGGATTTGAACATTGTCAGAGAAGAAGCCTGTGTCATATTTTCTGGAAGACTGTTGATTTCAGCTGCGCAAATCTGAAATACTGCCTCCCCATGTTTAGTCCTGACTCTGGGACCAGCAGGAGGCCAGTCCCTGTGCTCCTCAGAGTCCCAGCAGGAGGCCAGTCCCTGTGCTCCTCAGAGTCCCAGCAGGAGGCCAGTCCCTGTGCTCCTCAGAGTCCCAGTTGGTTCATATGGCACTAATATGTCACAGATGAACTTTGAGGCCATGGAGAGACTTGTAACAAATAGAGCTGCTTTTAAGTCTATTCTCTCGGCCACAGGAAGCAGAGATTACTTCCTGGTTCTCGTCAGTTTTTTTTTTCTACTTTTCTTTTTCTTGAGTCAGGCCTTGAGCTGCAGCGTTTTGAACATACTGCACAAAAACTGGGAAAAGTGGTCAAAGCAGGATGTTTGAACTTATTGTCTTGCCTCTGTCTCTGGTTACAAACAGCATAGAGAGAAACAGAGAGAACAAACCGGCCCTAGCTCTGACTCCTGCGTGACCTCTCCTATATTGTTAATTACAACCAAGTCCATCACGGGTTTTCGCAGCACATTGCAATGGAAATAATGAGGACAAACTGAGCAACACATGAAAACCCCCTTAATCCTTTAATCTCGCTTTTCCCTGAACCGTCCTCTGTTATTATTGTCTCCTCCGGACAAATTATCACCTTCACATTTGTTGTGGAAAAGCGCGGCAGTATCCAGGACTTAATTAAAGAAGTGCACTTTGGAAAGCCGCATCAAAACAATATTATCTTGTACAGTGAATAAAATAGAAAGGGATTATGACACGGAAACACAGATTATCTAATTTAATTTTGAGAAGACGTCACATAACATGCTTTTGCTGCTACGGTGATAATCTATGGCACCTGTGGCTCGGTATTCTAATACATTCAAGGAGCGTGTGATGTGTTTTCATGCTTTGTTCATCTTGAAATAGTTTGGTTCGACGACGGCTGTTTGAAATACACAGGAGTGAAGACAAATAGGAAGGAAGACATGGGAAAATATGTTGGATTTTACAAGCAGAGGTCTGGAACTGATAAAATCTGACTATCTCACCCAGACACGGGAGAACATGCAAACTTCCACTCAGCCACCGTGCCGACATGAGTACATTTGAAATCTCTGAATCAATCGAGTACAGGAGGCGAATCTGCAATTTTCTTTCTATATGGATTTGGGCAAATAAAGTAAACAATCAGCAGATTTTTTTCCAATATGCAAAATCCGCTAACCTTAAACCCCGTTTCCACCAGACATACTTGGCTATACTCTACTCTACTCTTGCATTACCAATATGTTTTAGTATCTGTTACCGTATCATAGCATCCTACCCACGACAAACCAGTGTCCGGGGAAATTCCTTGGCAACAATGGCTTCCAGCAACACCCTGGCCAATCTCTGTCAATTAGAACATTTTAGTACCAGCTTGGCCTGGATAGAACCAGAACCGAGAAAAACGGAACAATTTTCATTTAATTTCTTTTCTGGACACGTGTAAAAGTAAAGAGTAATTTCCGGACTATAAGTTGCTACTTTTTTATACTTCTTAAAATCCTGCGGCTTATATTCATAAAATTCTTTCAATAAATCAATACGTTGTTCAGAGTTAAAGCCTCAGCCGTCCCCAAAAGCTAAAGCAGAAGTCTGTGCTCTGTAAACCAGGTGCTATGTGTCCTGATGTTAGCACTTCACAAATTCTACCTCCTTAAAACTCAGATCCCTCATTAAATGTGGTCCGTGGCGGCGTTGCGTCCGCCGTAACGTGCTCTGAGATCTGTGTCTCTTGTCGCATCTGCAAAAGAGAGAGAATCGCTACAAAGTACGAACACTCAGAGAGGAATGTGCCACAGAAACAAAAGACGGGGGGAAAAGAAACAAATGAACGATGTTGAAAAACCTGTTCAAAAATGTCATCGTCGTGTTAGAATCCGCTCACACGAGGCCTGGGTGCTGGAGGCTCGGAAACATCAAAAGCAAACACAAAAGCGTCTGTGCCAGAGCTGCGAGGCAAGCTCTTTCTCTGTCTTCTGGTGCCATGAAGCTGCTTTTGTTTAAATGTCATAAATGTACAGATGATGGGTGTCTCTGAGGCGGTCTCTGTCATCGTCACGGTAACGCACTTTCTGTCAATACTGGTCCAGCTGTGTCTATGCAGCTTCTTATCAACACAGTTTATTCAGACCAACACAGTCTATACGTCTATCTGGTCCCCATGGAGTTATGTCTGAGCACAAAGCACTCTGGGTGTTTGTTTAGGACAGAGGGGTCTCCTTTTGGTCCTTTTCTTATAATTGTGGTTTACATTATGAAGGTATAAGTTTGACTGTTATTTTCTGGTTGATTTTTCTTGAAACAAAATGTGTTTGTATAGTATCTATCTATCCATCCATAATCTATCAATCTATCTTGGTCAGCAATTACAGCCTCAAGTCTGCCACAAGCTTGGCACACCTGTCTTTGGGCAGTTTTGCCCATTCCTCTTTGCAGCACCTCTAAAGCTCCATCAGGTTGGATGGGGAGTGTCGGTGCACAGCCATTTTCAGATCTATCCAGAGATGTTCACTTGGATTCAAGTCTGAGCTCTGGCTGAGTCACTCAAGGACATTCACAGAGTTGTCCTGAAGCCACTTCTTTGTTATCTTGGCTTAATGCTTAGGGTAGTTGTCCTGCTGAAAGGTGAAACGTTGCCCCAGTCTGAGGTCAAGAGCGCTCTGGAGCAGGTTTTCATCCAGGATGTCTCTGTACATTTCTGCATTCATCTTTCCCTCTATCTTGACTAGTCTCCCAGTTTTTGCCGCTGAAAAACATCCCCACAGCATGATGCTACCACCCCCATGCTTCACTGAAGGGATGGTATTGGCTTGGTGATGAGCAGTGCCTGGTTTCCTCCAAACATGACGCCTGGCATTCACGCCAAAGAGTTCAATCTTTGTCTCATCAGACCAGAGAACTTTTTTTACTCATGGTCTGAGAGTCCTTCAGTTGCCTTTTGGCAAACTCCAAACTAAGGAGCGGCTTCCGTCTGGCCACTCTACCATACAGGCCTGATTTGTGGATTGCTTTAGAGATGGTTGTCCTTCTGGAAGGTTCTCCTCTCTCTACAGAGGAACGCTAGAGCTCTGACAAAGTGACTATCGGGTTCTTAGTCACCTCCCTGACTAAGGCCCTTCTCTCCTGATCGCTCAGTTTAGATGGCCGGCCAGCTCTAGGAAGAGTCCTGGTGATTCCAAACTTCTTCCATTTACGGATGATGGAGGCCACTGTGCTCATTGGGACCTTCAAAGCAGCAGACATTTTTCTGTACCCTTCCCCAGACTTGAGGCTCGAGACAATCCTGTTTCGGAGTTCTACAGACAATTCCTTTGACAAAGGCTGTGAATACTTATGTACATGTTTATTTTCAATAAATTTGCAAGCATCTCAAAAAACCTTTTTTCATGTTTTTGTTATGGGGTGTTGTGTGTAGAATTGTGAGGTAAAAAATGAATTGAATCCATTTTGGAATAAAGCTGTAACATAACAAAATTTGGAAAAAGTGAAGTGCTGTGAATACTTTCCGGATGCAATGTATCTATCTATCTGCCTACGTTCCTATCTATCTATCTGCCTACGTTCCTATCTATCTATCTATCTATCTATCTGCCTACCTTCCTTTTTTAAACGTTTTTTTTAATTCACAATCATAAAGTGACAAGCATACAGGAAAAGACACAAAATACTGAAAACAGTGATTATTCATTGTTGGTTACAGTACAATAAACAACAAAGGTACAGCTGGGGGAGTTAGGGTAGGGTAAGTATATGTGTGTTTGTGTGAGTGTGTGCGGAAATGGGAAATATAAATCTGAGAAAGGGAGGAGGATATGAGTAGGTAATAGCAGCAATGGTTACTATAGGGTGTGTGATTAAATAAGTAAAGTGGTCTGACATCTTACTGCCCAACATTGTGTAGTTATGCATATTTAATATGCAATATATATACATATACTGTATATATATATATATATATATATATATATATATATATATTATAGTACATACATAGGACAAAACGCAATAATAATGACAACCTTCCTATCGATCTATCTATCTTTTTACTTTCCTATCTATCTGCCCACATTCCTATCTATCTATCTATCTATCTATCTATATCTATCGAAGAGAAACAGACCAAAGACATAGCATTTTGTGTTTAAACTCAGACTGTACCTATTTTCAATAACCGTCAACTCATTTTTTAATATCAAGAATGAATGAGTCTGGTGTGTGTGTGTGAATGGTTGGTGGTGGTCGGAGGGGCCGATGGCACATACTGGTTGCCTCGCTTCTGTCAGTGTGCCCCAGGGCAGCTGTGGCTACAGTAGTAGCTTATCACCACCGTGTCTGGAGTGAATGAATAATGACATGTAAAGTGTCTTTGAGTGTCCAAAAAAGCGCTATATATGCATTATTATTATTATTATCAAGAAATGCAGACAAGTAACCAAATGATAAAATGAGTTTTTTCTAGAAATCTATTCAAATGCACTCCAGTGGCTTCTCTTCAGCTTCTTTGGTCAAGTTCTGCTAAAATTGCATATCGACAAATCAGTCAATCAAAGGAGTCGTTGCAAGATGAATCAATTATTTTCTGTATTTTATAATTTGTGAGTTAAATTCCTAGTTTGAGTTCTAATAATAGTTCTGGAGGTGGAGGTGGGAAAGGGGTGTGAGGACGTATCACTGCAGAAACCTTCAACTCTGCGGTGATAATGCTGAAATTTCCACCACATGACCCACTGCAGATCCCATGTAAATAAGGACAGGTGCTAATCTATCTATCTATCTATCTATTCTCAAGGTCATATTTATGGATCATAATGAACTCAAATGTTGCTCCTTGTGTGTCCTCTAAACCAAGAGCACAGACAGAGGAGACTGCACTTCTCTCTTGATTTGACTTCTCCACAAACAAAAGTGCCGGAGAGTCCACTTGAATTGGAGTGTGACTGTTATCTGAATAGACTTTCCTCTCTCTCTCTCGTTGTGTGTGTGTCCACAGGTCCAGCTCTCTCTCTACACATACTTATCGTCTGAGTTCATTGGCACGGCAACCATCTACACCACCATCCGCCGAGTGGGCACCGTCCTGCAGCTCATGCACACCCTCAAGTACTACTACTGGGCCATCAATCCACTGGAGTGCAGTGGCATCTCCCCCAAAGGCCTGGGTAGGTCGTCTCACGCATACACATACAGGCGCATACACACACAGACGCATAGAAATACAGGTGTATACACACAAAGATGCTTACACACACACACAGATGCATACACACACAGCCGCATACACACAGTCACATGCACACACAGTCACATACACACACAGCCGCATACACACACAGTCACATACACACACAGTCACATACACACACAGCTGCATACACACACAGTCACATACACACAGTCACATACACACACAGTCACATACACACACAGCTGCATACACACACAGTCACATACACACAGTCACATACACACACAGCTGCATATACACATAATCACATACACACACAGTCACATGCACACACAGCTGCATACACACACAGTCACATACACACACAGCTGCATACACACATAGTCACATACACACACAGTCACATGCACACACAGCTGCATACATACACAGTCACATGCACACACAGTCACATGCACACACAGCTGCATACACACACAGTCACATACACACACAGCCGCAATCACAACCGCACTCAAAAGGCTTCAAACCCTACATCACTGCTACATCAGTGGTGCCACAGCCTCTGTGTTTCAACGGGAGCTTCAAGCAATGTGGGGTTAAGTGTCTTGCCCAAGGACACAACGACAGCAGACATTAGTGGGAGCAGTTGCAGTAGGTCCCGTGATGGGCTCATTGAAGAATCTTGTTTTAACACAATCAGATTGTGTCAGATTAAGATAAATACCTTTTGATGCAAGCAAATATCCCCTCATCCTTCATATTTATCAGTGCAGTGTAAAGGAGCCGACTCTTCCTTATTCTGTATTCAGTTCTGCTTTATGGATTGAAATAAAATATACGATCAGGAGATTTTTTTTAATGCGCAAATATCTCTTATCTTATTCAACCTGCCCTACTTGGCCTTACTCTACTCTACTCGTCTATACTGATGGGATTCCCATTATGCTTTAGATCCTGGTGCCGTATCATAGTGACCTACCCACAACAAACCAGTGTCCGGGGAAATTCCTTGGCAACCATGGCTTTCCAGCAGCACTCTGGCCAAATACTGTCTGATAGAACACTTTAGAACCAGATAGAACCAGGGCGAAGACGGACTAAAAAACTGGTGGAGCATTTTCTACGTTTTCCAATTTTATAAGACTTATTTTCTTTTTTTTTTACAGCCGTGAGATACAGTAATTATTAACATTGTAAAAACTAAATGTATCTTTAAAAGCCTTGGTACGTCCACTCAATCATACACAGCCATCTCTGCCGCATTCAAAAGACTTCAAACCCCTGAAGAAGAAGCGAGAAAGCAGCGCAGCGACTGTGAGATGTTTGAATCGCAAGAATACGAGGGGTACGAGCGCTGACCTTTGATGTTTAATGCATGATAATGTAATGGAACAGGGGATTTTTTCGCGTCTGCAGAAGGACGGGGGCTGTGTTGAGATGCCTGCTGGTATATCCAGTTTGCTTGGTGCTTGGAGATGCTGTTTTTTGCGTTTGTGAATAAAGTAGATGCATGTCGTGTATGTGTGATGCTAACGCGCTAATGAGCCGGTAGAGCCCGTCCGGAGCTCAGAGTGGTCGTACATAGTATATGGGTAATACTTTCATTTGACGTCATATGGTTTCCAAAGACTGGTTCAGGTTAGAATATCTGTAACTTTTAAACTCCCATTGCAGTCAATGGCAAAGCAAAGTTTTTTTTTGTATAGCACAATTCATACAAATAGCAACTCAAAGTGCTGAACAAAACAAGATAGCACTAAAATCATAAATAATCCCAATACATTAAAAAGAAAGATACACAGTATAATCCCTTAGTTGTATGCTAACCTGTTTTTTTAAACGTTGTCAGAGAAGAAGCCTGTCTCACATTTTCAGGAAGATTGTTCCAGATTTTAGCAGCATGAATCGGAAATGTAGTCTCCCCATGTTTAGTTCAATCTGACGGCTTTTTGTTTTAGGGGAGTCACTTATGTAGATTTCAGCTTTGCCAACATTGTGACTTATTCTGTATGTATGTAGTTATTTCTATGTTATTAGTTTTATGAAATCATCTTTCAATTTTGAAATGTGAGAAGCAGTGATGGGGTTAAGGGCGTTGAAATAAACAGCGTTACTAACAAGTAACAAGTAATCTAACTTTGAGTTAGATTACTCGTTATAGTGTGGTGTTATAGATACGTTGACTGTAACTATAACGCCGTTATTATTGCCGACACCCCGTTACTGTGTGTTACTCAAGTCACACAATGAACTTTTTTTTAAACTTCATGATTTCAACAACATAATCTCTTTAATAAATGTTGTCAGCGCTAGTTCAAACTACAGGTTATCTGGACATCAGCACACACAGACAATTTACAGACATTTTCAGCCTGGGTCTCGGCAGATGTAAAGCCAAAAGACCAAGAGTGAACAAAGGAGTTCTGGTCTTATACTAGACCAAAAGCAGATGTCTCCGGCTTCCTGCTCATTAAAACTTCTCGTGTTTCACCCATGGGGGATGGTCAGCATGCTGCTGATGTCCCATCACCTAAGTAGGTTAACCCAAAGCTGTCTAAACTTGAATATATTCTAATTCACTTTAATGAAAACCCAACAACAATTCCACTATCAGGCGCAAAGCTGACGCCGTCGGAAAAATTGCCCATATAAGGAATGCTCAAATCAGCTTCTATGGGTGACGTCTCAGCCATAGACTGTATATATTAATGGACAGAGTCACGCCTATCTCCACCGTTCATAAGAGTTGGCCATGAAAAGTGCTTTCATGGAGCAATCTGCGCATGCGTCAGCCGGCGCAGCTCCATTCATTTGAACGAGAGACTTCAAAAATTCCCCGCGAGTAAACTAGAGTGGACCAAAAAAAATCACCCCCCTCAGCATTGACACACATGTGGAACAGAGCTTTGGGCCAAGAGCCAACTTTTGGTCCATCCTGTAAAGACGTTTTTGAGAGGTCTGCCAACGCTATATGTTAGCATTGGCTAATTCTTCTTCTGGGTCCACCCCCAACGGCCCGGGGTGGTATTGCAAGCATGTCAGCGCACGTCATTTTGGCCACTTTTGAGCTGGGACCCTCCCCCACTGGTCTCAGCACTCAGTCAGTCCACTCCTTATACACAATGTCTATGCTATATTTTAACTCTGAGTCCCAGCATACTCGAACTGGGTCTAACAGAACGTTTGTGGTGCTAACTTAGGCTTTAGCACCACAGATCTCAAATATCCACTTTGAAATGTTGTTTTTCTGTGGGAGATTGTGACTCGTGGCCAAAAAATCGTCAAACAAAATTGGAATCATGGATCACATTTCTTCAACTGTTGGGGTTTAAAACTATGTACAATCACATATACAGTATATTGCTTACACATTTAATTCCTATGGACCAATGGCTCTGTGTGTATTTTTATCACTGTATTTCCTTTGCTAAGTGATACTAAGGGATTTAGGGCGATACAAAAAGACATTGAATTGAAATGAATAAATTACCATTCCTCAACTGCTGAGGTTTAAAACTAAGTAGAGTCACTTATAAGTCTTACATAAATCACCTACCACTATTAACATAACCACACGGCCCTCTCTCTAACTGTACAACATACATGGGCGGAATAATCACCATTTCATCTCTCTCTTCTGCGGTGAAGTAGTGCATTGTGGTCCGCAGGTCGACCCTCTGTTACCTAGCAGCCGAAATCACTCTCCGCTCTCAAGGGGAGAGACGTGTGCGGCTATGTGGCTAATTTACACTACGGGCGAGGAAATAAAACAGTTCCTTTGTACACGGGTTGTAATAGATCGACTCCTTGAGGTCACTTGTACTTTTCCACTGCTTTGTGAACAGAAGCTAAAGAAATCTGACCTCCTTGACTTGCATTATGGTAGCAGCGAGTGGGAGTTCAGGTCGTTAAGAGAGATTGGTGTATTGTATCGGAATTGTAGTAGTAGTAGTAATATTAGTCACGATTGTATGGATAAAGGAGAGAAATATAACTCAGAGTGATTCAGAGTCAAAAGTACAAATAAAAACAAAAAATGAAAATGACTGGCTGCAAACACAGAAAGGAAAAACACACACACACACATAAATACACATTTGGGCAGTACGCAGTTGTTTTAAAAGAGTGTGATGTCATAGTGTCATTGGAAGGTTGTTTAAATTATCATTTTAATCATTCCTATATGTGGCTAGATATGTTATAGACACCAGGAGGAAACAAGCTTTTGAACATGCTAATAAGCAAGGGTTGTCATTGTTTTTTGTTGTGTTGCTTTTTCCTGTCCTATCGGCGTATGAAGGTGTGTCTTGTTCTATCAAAAGAATTTACCTTGACTGAGTTAGATCTGGTTTTGGAAGCGGAGACACAGTACTCTATTTTCTGTCTCTGTTTCAAAGATCACTTCTCCTTGGAGGACAACCAAGATTAAAAATGCTGTCTTTTGTGTTTGTGATTTTGTCAGGAAGGACTGTAGTTAAAACAGCATTAACATAAAGCTAGATATTTTTAGACTTGATTCTTTATTATGCTAAAGCTAGAGATTATATGATACAAAAATAATGAATAGGTAAAATTAAAAAACAATTTTGAATTGATACAAATCTCCAAACACTTTCCTATCACTCTGAGTGGGCGATATCGACAAACATGAATCTATCTATATATACTGTTTTTCTAATGCGTTTTGATGACTATTTCTGACACAGTACTATGGCAACCCAACGCAATTGTACCGAAAAACCCATAACATGCTTGAATGTCCAATTTCTTCCAAACGTCAATACCTATCTTTTGCCCACTTTTACCTACAACCTGCAGCTGAAACCAATGAATATATTTGCATTGACAACTGTGCTTGTTCCTCTTTGCCAACACTCCATTACTGACATTTTGAATTGCCAACACTCGCTTCAATCTCCCAGCTAAATCTGAGAGTGTGTTTCTTTATTCTCCCGTTCTCTCAGTGTGCAT